GGAGAAAGATTTGGCGGAAGATTTGGCGGAAGATTTGGCGGAATATTTGGCGGAAGATCTCGCGGGCGATTTGGAGGATCAATTTGCCGGAAGATTTGGAGTAAGATTTGGCGGAAGATGTGGCGGAAAATTTGGCGGAATTTTTGAAGGATAAATATTGCGGAAGATAGCGGAACATTTGGAAAGTATATTTGGAATATGAATTTGGCGGATGATGTCGAAGAAGATCTAGCGGAAGTTCTGGTGGAAGATTTGGAGGAAGATTTGGCGGAAGATTTGGAGGAAGTTTTTGGGGAGAAAATTGGCGGAAGATTTGGCGGAAGCTCCGGCGGAAGCTCTGGAGGAAAATTTGGCGAAAGAACAGGAGGAGGAGGTGTAGCAGGACGAGGAGGAGGAGGAGGACGCATTGGAGAAGGAGGAGGAGGGGGAGGAGGAGGAGGAGGCGGTGGAAGAGCAGGAGCCCCCAGCTCTTTGTCCAGATCTTCCCCAAACTTCAGCCAGATCTTCCGCCAGATCTTCCGCCAGTTTTATCCTCCAGATTTTCTGCCAGATCTTTCGCCAGATCTTCCTCCAGATCTTCCGTCAGATCTTTCGCCAGATTTTCCGCCAGATCTTACGTAAGATCTTCCGCCAGATCTTCAGCCAGATTTGCCTTCCAGATCTTCCGCCAGATCTTCCGCTATATTCTTCGCCAGATCTATCCTCCAGATCGTCCACCTGACCTTCCTCCAGATCTTCCGCCAGATCTTCCTCAAGATCTTCCGCCGGATCTTCTGGCAGATCTTCCGCTCGATTTTCCGCGGGATCTTTCGTCAGATCTTCCACCATATCTTCCTCCAGATATTCCGTCAAATATTTCTCCAGATCTTACGCGAGAACTTCCGCCAGATCTTCCGCTAGATCTTCCGCGAGATTTTCCGGCACATCTTCCGCCAGATTTCCTTCCAGAGTTATATTCCACATGTTCCGCCAGATCTTCCGCCACTTTCATCCGCCAGATCTTCCGCCAGATCTTCCGCCAGATCTTCCGCAAAATCTTCCACCAGATCTTCCGCCAGATCTTCTTGCAGATCTTCCGCTAGATGTTCCGCGAGATCTTCCGCCAGATCCTCCGCCAGATGTTCTTCCAGATCCTCCGCGAGATCTTCCGCAAATCCCGATGATGAGGATGATCACGATGATGATGATGATGTCGATGATGATGATGATGATGATGATGATGATGATGATGATGATGATGATGATGATGATGGTGGTGGTGGTCACTGCATAAGGGAAACAGAATCCCGAGCAGAGCAACACGCACCACGACCACGACGACGCCGACGACGACGACGACGGAGACGAGGCGCGCTTACGATCCGCACCGAAGCACGGATTTGGGAAAGGGCCCACCCTGCAGGTTCAGTTAAACAGCACATCGTTGAGCGGTGCTGCAGCCTCCCCTGAGCACAGGCCCCCCCAGAGCATCAGCCAGACAAGTCGGGTTTGCACCCTCATGCCTTGCTGGACTCTGGGCGCGTTTCGGCACCCTCTCCCCCAACCTCGTCAGGGCCACCGACAAGGGAGAGGGCGGCGGTGGCCGACGCGTCCCCGAGCTGATGAGGATGATCACGATGATGATGATGATGATGATGATGATGATGATGGTGATGATGATGATGCTGATGCTGATGCTGATGCTGATGCTGATGCTGATGCTGATGCTGATGATGATGATGATGATGGTGATGATGATGCTGTTGATGCTGATAACGATGCTCATGCTGATACCGATGCTGATGGTGATGCTGCTGATGATGATGATGATGCTGATGCTGATGCTGATGCTGCTGATGATGATGCTGATGGTGGTGGTGGTGATGATGATGCAGATGATACTGTTATGATTGTTCGTGATGCTGATGCTGCCAATGCAGATGTTGGTGATGCTGCAGATGCCGATGATGATGGTGATGTGATGGTGGTGGTGGTAATTGTGATGTTGTTGGTGGTAGGGATGGTGATACCGATGCAGATGCTGATGACGATGATGGTGATGTTGATACTGTGGTTGTTGTTGGCTCTGGTGATGAATGTGTTGATGATGATGGTGATGATGGTGCTGCTGCTGATGATGATGCTTCTGATGCTGATGAGGAGTATGATAAATAATAGTACTGATGAGGATGTTGGCGATGATGATGGCGGGAGCAGTTGATGCAGGAGCAGTAATATACCCACTGTGTTCAACAAGACAGGGCGTGCTTCTCAGTTTCGCCCCTGCAGCTTTGTGACGGCGGAGTGGAGCTCGGCCCGCCTATGCGTTTCGAAGACCGTCTCTTGGCCTTGCTCCTTCTCCTCTTCTCTCCCGCCTCCTCCGCCCCGCTCCCGTGGCCCCTTCGCCTCGTTCTCGTTGCCCGTGCCCTGCCGACCCGGAGTGCGATGCTGGCCCCTCCCGGGCCGCTCCCGCTCCCGGGCCCAGCCCTTCCGTGCAGGGTCCGGGCGCTCCTTCCTGGCG